CAATAGAAACAAAAACATTTTTTCTGCATCTCCATTTATATGTCTCTAACATTTGGAGTTTGTTTCATTCAAAATAATTAATTATATAAAAGGGCATTTCAAATCTTTTATTTAGTGTCTCATGTATTGCTCCTTGTGGAATAAATGTTCTAATTTTCCATTTTACTTTCCACATTATTTCATGAACATCAAGCGAAATTGAAATCTTGATTAAAAGTACATCATTTAAGTAAATTATAGAGCCTAATTACATTGAGGATACAATTACACATTTTCAGTAGCTGAATACAATCGATAACAGGCTGTCTGTTTAGATAACTAAATTGGAATTTTAAAATCTGATTATTTTATTTATATATAAATCCCACTCCTCTCCTTTATTCTATATTGAGAATTATTGGTATACTTTGACTTGACTTAGAAATTCACATGAAGTCCTTGGACTTCAACTATTTCATTTTTACTAACTTGTCTCCCAGGGTATCTTCTCTGCAAGAGTATGTTGGGGTCTATTCTAAAAAAGCCCTCCAAACTTTACCAAATGTTCTTTCTTTGGTGTAACTATACAGATAGAATTCCCTTAGAGAGGAATGTAGGTATAGTTTGTTTTTTTTTTAAGAGGGCAAAGAAATCAGTTGTCAAAAATCACAAAGTCATTAGTCTGCAGAATATCCCTTCAAAAGATTACTGTTGGATGTTTCTCGTAGTAAGTTTCTAGATTAAATCTATATATCATTCATATCTTATAAAAAGAACAAGCAGATTTCTGTGCAGATATTTGCTTATAAATCATTCATATATACAGTTTCATGTCACCAAGAGCATATATAAAATTTTTTTTAACATATGTTATTTAATGATGAGGCTTTGAGTCCACAGATAGAAATCATCTACTAGTACCATCTGAGTAAAGATGCAAGAGGACAGATGCTTTACACCTTCCACGTCCTGGTTGGGCAGTTAAAATAAGCACAAGGAAATACTCTGACAAATCAAATTCTAATTCAAAGCCATGGTCGTCAAAGGGATGTAACCTACTTCTCTTATATCTTAGCTACAGTTGGATCCTTTAAGGTAACTATTGGATGACTTGGAAGCTGTCACTTTCTACTAGAAATGAAAACGAAGTGTCTTTTCTTATGTCAAAGACATGGATATATCATTTAGAATCCGAAACAGCCTGAGAAACAATTAGACCTGTTTTCCAATGCCTCTGCATTTCAGTATCAGCCACTCAAAAAAGTAAAATGTTGAATTTCTCAGATAACCTTTAAAACTTAAATAGGAGATATTGAGTTTTCCAACAGCACACTTCATTCATCTGCCTGATGATAGATTTTATATTTAACATTAATCAACTCACAAAGTGCAGTTCAAAATACAGTGCCACCCTAGGTATAATCTTATATCTGCCAGTAAAATATAGCTAATGGCAAACTCTCTCCAAAACAAAAGTTGTTAGACAATTTTGTTAGACGAAATAGTTTTCTTTTATATTCTGGTAACCAGAATATAAATAAATATTGTGCAAGAAAATTCAGTTAATCTTTGAGAAAGTACGGAAGGCAGGTCCGTAGCCCACTCTGCAGAAATAAAATTACTCAGCTGGGGAAGAGCATGTGATGCTTTCACATCTTAAATCATCAACAAACATTTTAGACCCCTTGAACTTTATCACAATTTCATATTTAACAGACAGTCGCACTTTTCCTGGAAGAAGAAGGTCGAAAGGGGATATTATCTCTCTATGGTCAGTAAGTGACATAGCTAGATGATGCTACCTCACTGCCTGAAGAAATATGCTCACTGGTGCATCTTCAATGTTGATTCTTCAAATTATGTGTAAGAGAAACATTAAAAAATCCATTTGGAAATATTTTTGAATAATTTTTATTTTTGGAAAAGTTTGGTTAGCTTATTTATGCTATCTGTCATCCCTTGTATGGCTCCCATATTCTACTTAGAATTAATTGCTAGGAAGAAAAACTTCCTTTCTCATAAAATACTTAACATATTTCAACATATTTCTTTCTTTGCTTTAGCTGTTAGAAGCTTAAAGTAAAATAAGATATGAAGCTACAATAACTAAATCTAAAATAATAAACTTTTTGTTTATCTTCTATTTAAAAAGGGATTTTCTTATTTTTATTCATGAGGTATATATTGTTTCATGTATGTTTTAAACTATCTGAACATTTTGGGGAAGGAGGCAGAAGGAATGTAATTATATTTTGGTGAATTAAATCCCAAAACAATATAATATATTTTGATCCCAAAATCTTACATGGTATAAACACCATAACTAAGAACAAACATGCATACCTAAATAAATATAATTATTTTTATGTAAAGGGTATTTTTTAAAGAGCAGTACAGAATATTAGATTCATAATAGGCAGAAAGAAAGGAAGAGAGAGAGGGATTATGATGTAGTTTTGTTAGTAAAATGTTGTTAATATGTGGGAATTTATTATACAATGATGGTGGCACTTCAGGCCAGTGGCGGAAACTGGTTGATTTTATAAGGTGGATTATAATAAATAACCACATGGAAAAAAAATAAAGTGAGATGCATTCTTCACACTTTACACCAAAATAAATTACAGATGTTAAATACAAAGCATTAAACTAAAAGAAATTGTGAAAGAAGTTTCACAGTGTTGGAGAAGGCTTTTTTAAGTGACAAGTTCAAAAATATATAAAATATAAACTATAAAAAATATAAAAATAAAAAATCTATGTATCAGGTAACTCTACAAACAAAATAAAAGGTAAATTAGAACTTGGAAAATACGAATAACTCTTTTAACAGTTAAGGAGTTCATATTCTTAACATGTCCAGCATTCACATGAATCAACTGAACAAAGGCCAGTAGTCCAATTAACAACTGGGAAAACCAGATGCTTGGGGGCAAATCTCAACCTCAGTTATACAAATTAAAAAAAACATGACATTGTAACTAGCGTATGAGTATACTTTAAAAAACTTAATGGCACAATATATTGGTGGGGGTGTAAGGAAAACATTCACTCTCAAGCATTGCTAGTGGAAATACAGATTTATATGAGCACTATAGAGTGCACTGGCAATATTTCTCAAAATTGAAAATGCTTAATTCCTTTTGCCTCATAATTCCTCTTCGAGGAAATTGTCCAATGCACATACTCACACACCATCCAAATGATGTCTGCACAAGAAGATTCATTTGGAAATAACTTGAATGCCCATCTGGTCAAATCAATTATACATTCTCACAACCATTAAAATGAGTAAAGTGGCCTTTCTGTGCTGACTGTGGAATAAAAAGTGTGTGTCCATGTGTGCGTGTGTACGTGAAAGCATACTTGTCTGTAGGTGTGGCTAAGTGATAAGAGAAAGGTTGAAACTAACATAATAAGAAGAAATGATTTGTGTTAAAAAAAAAAAAGACAGGAAAACAAAAGGAAACCATGCTAGACAATCTTCTCTGGAGAAGCAATTTTTGACTAGAGTTCTTTGGTTGCAGCAAGAGACAAACGAAGAAAAGGTTTTCAGTTCTCTACTTATATATCTTAAAATGTGTGCTATCTGTATGTATATGTTAACTTTAATAGTATATCTGATTTCTTTTAGATACTTGCTAAATGTTGCCTTTGGGAATGTGAATTACATTATTCTTTTCTAAATGTATTTTGTTCTACACTGAAAGAAAACTTGATACATGCCCATACTCATGAAGCTTTATGTAGCAAAGAGTATCAGAACGTTTTTTTTATGGGCTCATAAAACAGTTTTTTTCCTGAAACAATAGCACGATACCTAAATTACTCAGTAAAACAAAAAACAGGGTGTGTGACCCTGTTCTTCAACTTAATACGTATGTAACTATAACAGGTCACTTAAACTCCATTTCCTCATGGTTAAATAGCCAAAACTTGTTCTAGCAAACAATACCATACGAGTTCAATGATGTAATATATGTAAAATTGCTTTGTAATCTTAAAAAGAATAAAAATGTAAATTATTATTATAGGAAATGTGAATGTTTTAGAAAGACACTTTAATAAAGCATATATTTAGGTTAAATCAGGAGCAAAAGTATTACAGATTTTCCATTTCCTTACTTCTGCCCCCAGGCACAAATGTCCTCATGCTGCCTTGCATCAGAGGACAGTTTAACTGTAGCTGCTTTTCTCCCTGAATCTGTCCTGAGAACTCTATTAACAAATTGATTGTGCCTTTGCGTTTCTTTCCAATCTCTCCAGATTGCCTTTATCTGTATTAGGAAAAGCTTAATAGGTTAATTTCTAAACCCAAGGGAAATGCATATTTACATATTAATGATGGTGAGATTAAATCCTTTAATAAGGTATTTTATGGCTCCTTCTGTAACTATGTCAGACTTTCAGGGGATCACAGTGGTCTTGAAGAATAAAAGAAGATGGGTGATTACCTTAGCTGGCTTGAGAAACCTCACTTGCATGGAAAAGTAGTTCATTTCTGGAAGTGAAAGAAATGTAGCATTTTTGATACAAAATATTGTATATGAATATTAAAATTTCTAAAATGACCTAGCCTGATGAAAGACTGAAACAATATCACTATTCAAATGCAACATGATTTTTAATGTCTTTCATGAAAATCTTATTTTTACCAGAAATACACTGGCACAGTGGGAAAGCTACATACAGTCTTTAAAATAAAATGGTATCTGATTGATCTTCCAGTGTCTATTAGGACAAGTTGTAACGTATGTTATACTATTTAAAAAGAAAACTTAAGACCATATTATTCAAGGCCTCCCTATTTCACCACAAATTCTGCCATTTTCAAGCGTTTTCTCAGAATAATAGGACTTTGAGTAGAAGCAGGTTCATAATTGAAACGGTTACAATAGAACTTTCTCTTTGGTAGAAAGAACAAATAATAGATCTGAGGACCGATTAAATATGATTGTTCAGGCACATTAATACTGGGGAGCACTTACAAGTTTCCAATTTTCACTTTCCATGATTGGCAGCATGTATCTGATGAGCGGAGTTTCAGTTTGCGCAGGAAGATATCTGAAGAGGAGATGGATTATAATGTTCAACTCAGGACAACTTATGCACTGGGTCAGTTCAGACGGGCTTCCAAGAACCGAAAAAACAGAAACGTTAAGATTTGTACTCCACCTGCTTCATGCACTGTTACAGTGTAAGTCGTGTCCTAATTATAACTCTTTATTTCCTTCATTCTTCTAAGGGCAACCAACTGCTTTTTACAGTATCACGTCGAAGTTCTAGAGAGTGGATGTATTTAGTGTGACTTCGTGTCAGTAATTTGGAGATGTAATTATTGTTCTTTAAAGGGACTTGATGGCAAGGGAAGTTCATTGTCACTTTTCTCACTTATAATACATGATGCTACATCAGAAACACAACCCTGTCCCACAGGAAATGGACTATTTCCTGTAAAAGGAGCTTGATCACTTCAGTTTAAGTTAGTGATTTCTGAATCACAGATGGCTGGCTTGCCAAGAACACTGTGTCTTATTTTCTGTTACTTTTATCTTATCTGGGGTCTCAAGTCAGTGTCTAATCAATCTATGACAATACCTTTTCTAGCAGATCCTTAGAACTTAGAGGTGTCTGTGAAATTAGGAGTGTCAGAACCATCTCCCCACACCACAGATACTTGGAGGGATCTGAAGGACTTAAAGTACCCACACAATTACCCACTGGAAGCCTTCCCCCACCTCTACCACGGTGGGGGTGGGGGCGTTCCTCACCTGGTAACTCAGACCTAGTGACACCTACTCGAGGGAGGGGTTGGTAGGGAGGAGACTGTCCCTGTCTTCACGGAGGCTGGAGAACCTGAGGCAATGTTAGAAAAACGCCCTCCTGAAGGCCGAGGACTGATGATAGGAACTAAGTGTATTTGCTGGACAACTATGGAAAAGTATTAATGCATGAAATTTGGCAGAAGTCATACGTTGTGTACAATTGTGTGTATTGTATTTTATAAATTAGCTTTTGGTGTTTTATGTGCTTGCTTATTTTTACAGACATGGCATCACTGTACCATATACACTTTAGTTACCGAAAAATAGATCTTGGCATGTTTTTTGCATCCCTACACAGAGAGCTTTCGTCCCAGCTCGTGCTCTGGTATGCGGTGGATGCACTGTAACTTATGTAACCAGTTTTTTCTTGTCTTTTTTTAACAAGCAATGTGGAAAAACAAAAGAAACAAAATGTCTTTTGTTGGTGCTGTGACCCTCCTAGAAAGTGACCATTTTCGCAGGGCACCCTAGGATAAAGGGAGGTGCTTACAGCCTGTGACAACGACCTGGGGTCTCGGGTTACCCCAGCCCCTGTATAGTCACTCTGAGGGCTAAGGTCTCAGCCCGTGACCAACTCACCCACTGCGCGGAGCCTGGGAATGCTGCACCCATGTAGAATTCTTTAAGTGCTTTTCTCTCTGATCATGTAATTCTCTTTTCCTATCACGACCCTTCAACAAATTTGATTTCTTCATAGTTCTGCAAGGCTGTAATGAGAGACAAACTGTCAAGCTAGAAAAAGACACGTGGTCCCCTCTGACAGCCACATCTGTTTTTATATCACATCCACCTACCTTCCTGGGGGAAGGTCAGTGCTGATCTGACTCCCTGCGTCTACCTGGTAACAGTACTGACAGACAAGATAACTGCACAGGTGTGGGAGCGAAGGAGATACGTGTCTGAGAACCTCCTCTAGGTTCTGGGCTTGGAAGATGTGTACATCTGAGGTCACGCTACAGCTGTCTCCCTCAGTGCAGTGGATTTCAGGATTCTTCCTGTTTTACAGGCCATGAGCCAGGCGAGGTGGTGGTGCCACCCAGAGGGAGCACTGATCTCACAAACTGGGCACCCTCCTGCAGCGACTTGTTACACAGAGTACAGTGAGGTGGACTCTGGACGTAATCTTTTGAACGATAAGAATTGCTGTGTTTTATTTTACCCCTCTACCTTTTCCCGTGTTTGTTTACTCCATGGTGTCACTTTTTTTTTCCCTGACATCCATGCGTCATGTTTTCCTTTGTTTACTAAACCTACCAGGCCTTTCTTCTCTGAAAAATGCCTCCGTGCTCCAAATTCATCTCTGCTTTCCACCAAAACCTCCACTTCTTTCTTTCTGCCTAATCACAGCTAAGACAGAAATATTCTTGGAGTAGGACTGACCACCAGATCTTGCGTGAGCTTCACAGAAGCACTTGTACTTAACAGCCTAAGTGAAAGTCGTCCTGGGTAAAATCTCGGGCATGTGACAGAAAGAGACAGGAGGAGAAACTGGAATTGAAGCACGACACTGTAAACCCTGCTTTTAACAGCAACCCAAGGAAACCTTCAGTAGCAGGAGGGTGAGCACAGTATGGAGGGGAATTCTCTGCATGTTTAAATTCAAGAAGTTACCTGAGTCTTCCACTTGGATTAGTAATTACAATTTATTTACATCTGGCTCTTGGAATATTAAGTCTAATCTTTTTGGGGCCTAAATGGCCTCAAGATGTGTAGGTATTACAGCAATAATGTAATAAAGTTTGATGATTTGTATATTCAAAAAAGCTGGAATTACTAGTGAGAATTGCAATTTAATTGCAAGAATGTGTTATCGATGTGTGAGTCCAAATTTTATTGACAGACCTAGAAAATCGTTACAATAACAATGTAAGTGTATATAATGAAAACATTGACTTTGAAAAATAGGGAGCATGTGTGAAGCATATGTGTACAGGAAACGCCTAAGAAATATTAAGGGAGTTATTTTGATTGAGAAACTTTAAAATATATAACTTTATGGATTCCTGTATTCTATAGAAGTTCATGGGTTCATATATAATATTCATATAAAATTGGTTATTTTTATAATCTTAAAAACCTACTATTCCAGTAATTTTTTTTCCAGTTGGAATGAATCTTGTTCCCTGTGCATTCTGTGACTCCTAAAGAAAAAAGGTCACTCCCCACAATGAATCATAAAATCTCCTGCACATTTTTTCTCAAAAGCATGTTCAAAACTGTTATTTCATTTTTACACATTTACAAATGAGATACATAGTAAGGTATGTTGCATCATTTTACAGATATGGAAATTGATGCCCAAAGAGGTCATATGTCTTGCCTGAAGTATTAAAATCAGGATTAGAACTTCATTTTCCCTTTTCTAACTGAATACATTTTCTACTAGGTTATATTGCTTTCTGGAGTAAGAATCTCATCATTTATATATATGCGTGTATATATATAATATGATATAAATGATGATATCATTGTGAGTGGGCAATAGTTAAAATCATTTCTATTTTTATTTAATCCCGTCTTACATTTCTCTTGCATGCCTCTTATACCTATATTTCCCTTAAAATCCATTTTTCAGACATGTGTCTTTTCACAATACACATTTTACATTTTCTTGGACTCTGTTTACTTTTCCTTTTGTTTTATCTTTTTAATATCAGCAAAATCAAATGTCTAAGCCTTTATTTTTATTTATTTTTCAGCACTAAAATGTGTTTGCACAAATATGAAATATTATGTGATTCTGGGATAGTATTTAGTCATGTTTTGGAAGATAAAGATAAATGTTTTATCAGGTCAAACAACCTGGGAATTTAAGATGACAGCAAAGAATATGTACTTCAGAGATAAGTAAGATATTGTTATAAATAATACAATAGCTCCTCAGAATCACAGAGTATTTAAAAAGTAACACCTGTACACTCTACTTAAAAACAATAGTCATAACAGAATAAGTTGAGATATAAATGTATTTTAATGTGATTTTTTTCTCCTCCATTGGTGTAAGACAGTAGCATTTTTTTAACCTGAACTCGTCTAATTCCATTATTCTCTCTAAAATTTTCTTTATACTTGAGCCACGATGATCTTTCTCAACTGAAATGTGATCATATCATTCTCCTTCAGTGATAAATCTCAGCATCAGGATGAAGGCCAAGCTCCTTATTAAGTACGATATGACAGGACTTTAAATCTACGCGGCAGCATCCTGGCCTGCAGCCCCTTCTCGCTGGAGCACCCTCTTTCTCACAGGACATCGTGCCTGGTTAGCCTTCACTTAAGCATCACTTGATCTTCAACACCTTCCCTGAAATACAGACCCGGGTAAGGTGTTCTGGCAGCACCCTAAAGCTCACCTCACTAATTGGAATTATTTGCTTACCTTTGTCCCCACTGGGCAGTAGTCTTTATGAGTACACAGTAACATTGGGTCATCAGTATATCTTAGGATCTAAAAAACATGTGTTTAATAAATATTGGACTAATGAGTGCATGTCTACAGTTGTAGCTAATCTCACTGTGCTGGGAACTGTGACTGTCTTGACAAATACTACTGCTGTCCAGCCCTGTGAATACCTCATGCAGAGAATGTACGTGGTCACCCCCGTCCAGTTAAATCTGTACGGATTTACACAAATTGTTGCAGGTTTATTCTGATTCTTAACTTTAGATATATGCTATATCCTTTATATTTCCTGAGTTATTTCAGTTTTGATGACGACAGAGAAGATACTAAAACCAAAAGAAATACTACATGAAGTAATGATACAATACAGTATAATAACAGAAGGCAACATATTTTAAAATAGGCGTTTGTGGGTTAATAATAGCATTCCTGGTCAGCTTTCTGTCAGAGCAAAAGTGGAACTAGTATAACAACAGGCCTGCTTTATGGAAAAGCATTGATAAAAAATTTACATGACTGGTGATAAATCTGAGCTGGCTTCCTACAAAACAGATTCCTCAGTACACAGTGACTTTCCCAAAGAACACATTTGCATGATCTTCAAGTTCACCGCTAGAGAGACTCTAAATAATAATCAGGCCATAAACCTAGAGGAAGGCGTTTTAGATTGTCATATAATCGGCACAGAGAACTCTGAGAATTACAATAGAGGCTGAGCCTGGTAATCCTTCTTGGATAATAATGAAAATAATTAGGAAGGCTTCAAACAGTCTGTCTCTGTAGAAGTTTAGTGTCCTCAATGTGAAAGAGCAAGAACACTGAGAGTTGTCTAATGGCTTTGTTGAACGGATCTAATGAGGCAAGTTTTACCCTCTGACACAAATTGGATCTTGGCTGATGAAAACTGAAGCTACTGTTGCAAAGAACATTCAGACTCTTGCGTATTTTTTACCGATTTGAACAAACCATGTGGAAAAGTAATGATACACCTGCCTTAAATCATTTAGCCTCTCAAATTGGCTGTTCATTTAGAATCAAACTGGAGATCTTTTCCAAGGGAGCAAAAAAAATGTTCAAATGTTTATGTTAATTTTATAACTTTTCCTTTAGTCATTTGTATAGTCAAGACAGAATCTCAATTATATTTATTAGAAAAACTAAGGTCAACAAATAGAGGAACCTTGAACCTAATGTCTGGATTTCTGAGCTCTACCCTTATATATTCTGTTGCATAACACTGTAGCTGTAGGACGTTTTCATCTAAATGCTGAGCACATTTCTTGCCAGCATTTGTTATTTGTGTTCTTTCTGACGATGGGGCCATCTGACAGGTGTGAGACGGTGTCTCACTGTGGCTTTGATTTGCATTTCCCTGATATTAGTGATGTTGAGCAGCTTTTCATGTTCCTGTTGGTCATCTGCATTTCCTCTTTTTGGAAAAATGTCTGTTCGGTTCTTTTGCCTGTGTATTAAATGGGTTGTTTGTTTGCTTTTTGATTGAAGTACAGTTGATTTAAAATGTTGTATTAGTCTCTGGTGTACAGCATGGATGGACTTTGAGGGCATTATGCTAAGTGCAACGAGTCAGACAGAGAAAGACAAATGCTGTAAGATATCACTTACATGCGGAATCTAAAAAAATACAACAAACTAATGACTATAACAGAAAAGAAACAGACTCACAGATGTAGAGAAGGAACTAGGGGTTACCAGTGGGGAGAAGGAAGGGAGAGGGGCAAGATGGAGGTGGAGGATTAAGAGGTACAAACTATCAGGTACAAAAAAGCTACAAGGATGTATTGTACACTGTGGGGAATATAGCCAGTATTTTATAACTATACCCTAAACTTTAAAAACTGAATCACTGTATCATATACCTGTAACATATAATATTGTACATCAACCATACTTCAGTTTAAAAAAATGATATCGTAAAGTAAGTACATAAATAAAGTTAAAAAATAATTTTCAGTAAGGCATTTATTGGAAATATTCAGGTTGAAAATTATCTATTCTTTTCCTGGTAAAAAATAATTTCCAGTTCATGAATGCATCCTTTTTTCCTTTCTTTCCCTGAAAAACACAGGTAGGAAGATAAATAGTTGATCTTTAACAAGCTCTCTGTGTGACTGTGTGCATGTATAAATTTTAGTAACATCTACTGGTTTTGGTTTCTAGGAGCCAGCGAACGCTGGTAAAATCAATGTGATACAGTGGTGCTCCTGTTTGACATGGGATGCCAATAGAAAGCCTACTGGATTAAGCGATTCTTCGTAGAAATGCTAAGACTTATCATAAACCTATCGGGAAAGTAGAGTGAAAGTAGAAATTGTTTTCTGCCATTTCCCATATAAATTAATCAGTTCTCACTTTATACTTGTAATGCTGCTAATGGTTCTTGGGAAAATAGGTCTTAAAATTCAAGTATTTATTTCATTTCTCCATTTGTTGTTATTTTAACAGTTTACCAAGATTTTACAGTAGTGCTTTATCTTGCTGCCTCTTAAATGTGACTTCTTCATGGCCTCTCCACTAAATTGCATCTATCTCAGATACGTGGATAATTAACTTTCAAGTGACACCTGATCAAAGTCTCTATACTTGACTGTCTCTCACAATAAGAATTGGACTCATACCAGATCAATTATTTTTGAGAATATGTGACTCAGGAAATTCTAGTTACTGCATTTCTCACCAAATTATAAATAGAATTGTTTGAATATAAATAGAGTTGCCTTTGAGTCTGATCTTCAAGAACTGTCGATATTTTTATAGGCTTTTATATACCTTTCCTGTGCTGTTAAGTACCTTCGGAGCACATTCAAAAATGTTATCCTTCTCTTGCTTTTTGGTCAGGATCACTTGAACAAAAAGCCACACAAAGGAATTTCAGAAGCAGCAAAATGTGCCTTGTGGCCAAAATTAGTGCCCCTCCCTGTATTGTTTTGAGGTTATAATAGACTTCCTC